ATGGCATTTTAGTATCAAATATGTCAGAAGGTTCCTAACAAGAACATGCTCCTAGATAGGATATTAGAAGTATCTGGTTGACTGCCCAGGTTCAAAGCCTACCTCCACCACTTATTAACTGTCTGGCTTGAGCAACTTCTCCAAGTCCCAATTTCCTCATATGTAAGCCAGATGTTATCAAAGAACCTATCTAATTGAGATATAGTAAAAGTAAAATGAGATAATGCATGTAGAATGCTAAGCATACTGCCCAGTACATCACAGGGTCTGAATAAATGTTGCTAAAGAGTATAAGCAAATCAAAAGGCAGTTCCAATACAGGACACTGTGATAATGCAATGATACGAGAAAAAGAGCACGTATGAGGAGAGGCATTAATTCAAGCATAGGGGGCTTACCGAAGGCTCAGGAAATAAATTAAGTAAATTATGCATTGGCATTTGCTGGCTAGGAGAGAGTAGTCTACACTTTTAAAAAAAGATTTTATTTATTTTTTCATGAGAGACAGAGAGAGAGAGGCAGAGACGCAGGCAGAGGGAGAAGCAGGCTCCATGCAGGGAGCCTGACGTGGGACTCAGTCCTGGGTCTCCAGGATCAGGCCCTGGGCTGAAGGCGGCACTAAACCGCTGAGGCACCAGGGCTGCCCCCCAAATTGTTTTCAAATGTAAATGCCATTTTTATGAACACTAAACACTGTCATAAAAGAAAATTGACAGAATAATCTATTGTTCAGGAACTTAATTAAACATTAATATTGATTATTCATGGTTTAAAAAAAATTTTGGAGGCAATGATTTTACTTTTAGCACTCAGAGATTTTCTTTGGTAAGTCCCTGAAAAGCTCATAGGCCCTAAGTAGTTTACCAAATCCCTCGGGCCCCTTCCTGGGCTCTAAACCCCTCACTCACATCTTCCACACCTCCCTCTCTGCTTGATTCTTTCCCAACTGCATTTAAATGTGCTAATTTCTACCATCCAGATAAGTGATTCTAGCCTAACAAAAATCACACCAGGGCACATTGCAACTAACCTTTCTAACTGTCCCTTTCCTCCTCACCAAAGGCTGACATTAGAGTTGTTGTACACTACATTTACTTTGAGATGGCCACTTCCTCTCTTAGCTTTCAGGGAAAAGACCACACTCTGTACCTTGGCCTATGAAGCCCAACTGTATTGGGGGTGGGGGCTCCCCCACCCCCCTGCTGTACTTTCTCTCAGTTCTTTTTTTTTTTTTTAAGATTTATTTATTTATTCATGAGAGAGATATATAGAGAGAGGCAGAGGGAGAAGCAGGCTCCATGCAGGGAGCCCAACGTGGGACTCCAGGATCGCGCCCTGGGCCCAAGGCAGCGCTAAACCGCTGAGCCACCCGGGCTGCGCTCTCAGTTCTTTAGACACAGGCTTTCTCCTACCTTTGAGTTATTGCCCTTACCCTGTTGCCCTACTTGGAGCACCCTCTACCTATTTATCTGGCTCTACAACTTGTATGTCTCTGGGCAACCTCCCCTGACCTTCCAGAGTCAGCCCTTCTATTACATAGCACCTGGTGCTATTGCTTCATGACATTTGATTTGTAGTTATTCATAACCATTTATTCATTGTTTCCTCATGTTAGTTTGCTAGTGTTGCCATAAAAACCGCCATAGACTGGGTGGTGTAAACAACGGAAATTTATTTTTTCACAGTTTTGGAGGCTGGAAGTCTAAGATGAAGATGGTGGCAGGTTTGGTTTCTTCTGAGCCCTCCCTCTTAGACTTACAGTTAATTGCCTTCTCACTGGGTCCTTACATGGCCTTTCCTCTATGTGTGTGCAACCCTGGGGGTTCTTCCTCTACTTATAAGGACACCAGTCTTATTTTTTATTTTTTATTTTTTTTTAAATTTTTTTTTTATTTATTTATGATAGTCACAGAGAGAGAGAGAGAGAGAGGCAGAGACACAGGCAGAGGGAGAAGCAGGCTCCATGCACCGGGAGCCCGACGTGGGATTCGATCCGGGGTCTCCAGGATCGCGCCCTGGGCCAAAGACAGGCGCCAAACCGCTGCGCCACCCAGGGATCCCGACACCAGTCTTATTTTAATTTAATTATCCTTTAAAGACTTTATCTCCAAATACTGTTCTGTTCTGAGTCACTGGGTTTTGGGACTTTTGGGAGGACACAATTCAGCCCATAACAGGCAGGGACTGTGTCCTCCTTCCCAGCGTATCTCTCACTCAGGGGTCACACTAATCTTCTCTATATCATTCCAATTTTAGTATATGTGCAGCTAAAGTGAGCACATCCTCACCCAGCTTGGTGTCGCCAAGCTCTGAGCATCATGCCTGACATTAAGTAAAACACAAGAACACATTTTCTATTTAATTAACTGCCCCAGACTAATGGTGTGACATTGGCCTGGTTCCTTCTCTTCGATGTACCTTAGTTGCGCCACCTGTATAATATCAGGCTGGAGAAGTTGGTCTCTAAGGACAGCCTGACAGTTGGCCCAACTGATCTTTTAATTAATCTCTTCAGTGAAATCTTTCCCCCTCACCACTAGAGGGAGATGTTACTTCTTGTTTTGTTTTGTTTTGTTTTCCTCAGTGGGAACGAGCCATCAACCCTCTTGCCCCAGGGGTATTAAAAGTGGGGTAGCTGAGGCCAAGGACAGCCAGCGGCCAAACTATCAGCAGGGCATTCAGCCCTGGGCTTGAATTTCAACTCTGCCATTTCCTGGCTGAGGTATTTTTGCCAAGGTCCCCTTGAGAGTGTTAGTTTTCTCTGCAGCTGAGTGGGCAATGGAAATACCTCATCCGTGATGATATATCTGGGGCAGGCTTCCAGATAGAGCTCTGAGTCTAAACCCCAGAAGTGCTAAAATGCCCCACTTGCTCCCTTCTCAGTAAACAAGTTCTTGTCTGCTGATGGGTCGCTGAGAATGTTGGCAAGTCTAAGGAGCGGGTTTGGACTGGCCAGAGAGCGCAGATGTCCAGAGGAAGGCAGGTAGGCAGAACTCTGTCCTGATGCCTGCCTCCACCCTCATGAAGTAGGAAAGTAGGATGCTTTGGGGCATCCAGGGTGGATGTACGAGAGATCCTGGTCAATTCTAATTTTTGAGGCTCCAAATTTGTTAAAATATGAGATGTTCAAGGAAGTACAAAAAGGCAATTCAGAGGCAAGAGGATTTAGAAAATTAGTTTCATACTAAGTGTATGTTGTAAACATATGTAAGAAGGCAACGGGATTCCCTGGTCAGTTACATACAGGGACCCTTGACTGTTGTCTGCCCCCAGTCACTTAACCATACAGTCAGACCTCAAGGACCAACTTCCCAATGATGCTGCCTCCCCTGGGGAAAAAAGTGGCTGTGCATAGAAATGGAAGCAGGCTTGCCTATGAACCAAAACCAGTGTCAGAAGAAAGCACAAAAGGGGATAAAGGGGAACCTTTATTGCTGTAAGAAATCCATCCCAAGAGCTGCAAAAGATGGCCTGAGCTCAAACAGCTCAAAACATACCCTTCTTGGGCTTTGTGGATTCAGTTTTGACTGAATCCTCACCTGTGCAACCAAACCCTTTCAAAAAGTGTACTTGCAAAGAAGGCTTCTAAGGGACACCAGGCTTTAAAATAATCTGCTCCTCAATAAAAAATACAACACACATTTAAAGGGGGAAAACCCTATAAGATTGTGAAGGTTAAAAGTTTAATCTGTTTTTTTTTTTTTTTTGTGGGAAACAGCCATTTTCTTACATGATGATGATCAACATAATGCATAGGTTCAGAAATTTGTATTGTTAAAGTCAGGGATAAAGTTGTTTTACTTAGGAAATACTTTAGTTTTATTTGGTGATAAAAACAAGCTGATGCTTATTATTTATGTAATAGCACTAAGTCCTGTTTCTCCCCCCTTTACTGAACTGTGCCATGAAGTCTATCCTCTTGATGGAGGAGGGTAAGGTGTCAGCTTTGCTTCTGCAGAATGTAAAAAATTATATAGCAATGTTTTAAAAGTTCCAAATTAACACATTCATTTTTTTAAAAAAGATTTTATTTATTTATTTGAGAGCAAGTGAGCAAGCGAGCAAGTGATGGGGGTGGAACAGAGGGAGAGGGACAAGCAGACTCTGCCCTCACTGTGGAGCAGATAGGAGGCTCCATCACACAACCCCGAGATCATGACTTGATCCCAAATTCAGACTCGGCTGCTTAATGGACTGAGGCACCCAGATGCTGCCAAAGTAACACTTTTAACACACACAAAAATCACACTGCAATGTAATTGTGCTATTCATTCATAAGCTAACTATAGAATCCACAAGAGGCTTGAATTGGTGGCTCACTCAAGCACCACGGTAACAGCACTCAAAGTTTAAAGTTGTAGGAGCGAAGCCTCTCAGGCCAGTAGGCCTGGCAAAGGGCAAATGCAGACCCTTGCCCTGCCCTCAAAGATCCACTTCAGTCCTCAGAGCCCTGGAGATGAGCCTTGATGGCAAGCTTTGGACTTTGGGTAGAAATGGGAGTAGATTTTTTTTTTCATCTTCTTTTATTTCCTCAACTTTGTTGCTTCATCATATTTATAAAAAAAAAAAAAAGGAAAAGAAAAAAAAAAGTTTTCCTTCAGGGTATGACATTTGACCTGGCACCTCTCCAAGTGTCACGTTCCTTGGTGTAAAATGGAAATATTAGGACCACCTTACCGTGCAGAGCGTAGGGGCTCCTCGGTTGTTCGTATGAACCCTGCCTGACGTAGCTGTTTCTGGAGGAGGGTGCCGGTTCCCTTCACCTGTTAGTCAAGTGATTTCCCATCTCTCTGGGTCCCAACTTCCCCTCCGCCAAATGGCTTTGCGGACGTCACTTCTCAATGCTATCTCCATCGGACTCCTCCACAGACCAAGGCACAGGGCTGTGGTAAAGGGTGGCTTTTCCTCAGTGAGATGGCTGGTTCTGCGGACAGAACGGTGGTTCCTCCGACTCACGCTGCCGGGGAAGTCGTGGGGCCTTTCCCACCACGGACTACAGGTCCCAGCAAGTCCTAAACGCCTCTCGGGCCAAATCTCGCGTGATGTGACGAGGCCTCGGAAGGCTTTACGGAAGGGCCGCCGGCCGGCTCGGCAGCCAGAGTTCCCCGGTCAGTGCTCGAGGCCTTTGGCGTCGCCACGGGCACAGCGCCGCTCACACCATGGCTTGGGTTCCGACTGCGCCACAGCGTCTCGTGAGACGTGGGTCCTCAGAGCCTCTTTAGTGCCGCAGCTTCGGCTGTAGGCAGCCCCGCGGCAGCGGAAGAACAGGTAACTAGAGGGCCCGGGCCTGGCCCTGTTTGGGGACGCGTCCTCCTTGCATCCGAAGGGGCGCGCCTCCGGCTCCTCCACCTCCACCGAGGCGCTGACTCAGGGCCTCTCGGTCCCTCTCCCTTCACCCCTACACAGGCGCAGAGCTCGGTCTGACCGCCCCTTTCCTCTCCTGCCCCGTCTTCTGTGAGGGTCTCCCAGTGGGACTTCTCTCTGATGGCCCCGCTGCGTCCCCCGCACCCGCCTCGGCTTCCTCAGACCGGCCTAGCCCGGGACCCGCACTCCTCGCTCTCACCCCCACGCCTCCGCCTTGCCTGCCCTCGGAGAACCTTTGGCTTGTCCCAGGCCCCGGCCTTAATCTCCTTTTCCTTAGTCCCACGGGTTGGGAGGGGGGTTGGGTCAGACCTGGCCTTTCAGATCCTGGTGGCTTTGTTCTGTATCCCGTGAAGGAGTTGCGTGAGCTTTGCGGGGGAGTGGAACGGTTAAGGGAAGTGGAAGGGGATGAACGTGGGTCGGAATGCTTCCTGGGCCCGGAGAATGGCTGAACTTTGGTTTCTTTGATGGTCTTTAATGAAGAACAAACTCGTCCTCTGAACTTAGGTAGAGGGGCAGTGTAGCAAGTTCAGAGTAACTGGGCTTTTTCAGGGCTTTGTTTTAATTCCCCTGAAAATGGAGGTGAAACTACCTGCCTTGCAGATGGGCCACTTATCTGTGACCTTAGGCAAATCACATATACACATCTCCTGATTTTTAGTTTCGTTCTTTTAAAATTGTAGGGGATAAATAATGCCTACTTTGCAGACTTGCTGCAAGGGTTAAAACACAAGATAAGCGTTGTATAAAACCCTTATGAATATTAGTGTTAGCAACAGAGAATGAGTGTACCTATTATGGTAAATAGCCCCTTGCTGTTGGTTAAGTAAGTCCTAATTTACTTAAAATGATGTGTGTAATCACTCTCGCAAGGTTGTTGTGAGGAATACATGAACGTAGGGGAAGGTGTTTGGCAGACTCTGAAGGCTGTACCAATGCTGGTTGTTTGTTATTCTTAGAACCTCTGAAATGGACGGACTCTCCTCAAGCAGCTTTGCTAATTTGCAGCCGCTGGACAATGTTCCTCATTAATACCTGTCTGTCAGTATAATCATCATTTCACTCTGGTAAGGTGACCTTTTCACTACGTATAGTGTCTGTCATATCACATGTGTTAAGATCATCCATGGATGAGACTTTTGACTTTATCCTTAAAAAAAATTTTTTTTAATCTCCTTTGTCGTGTTTGTCACCTATTGGCTCTTTTATGTGCGCTCTAACCTTGTAAACAAGCTATAAAACTCTGTGTGCCTGTCAGAAGAACCGCTTTAGAGCTATTCTTTGGTGTTCACTGTAAGAACATGCCCTTTGTTGTTTTTATTAGGTGGCAGGGACTCAGCTCCGAATTCTATATAGAAAACATCTGGATCCCAGTCTTTCAATGGCTTCGAGACAACCAGAAGTGCCTGGTAAACTTAATTCTTTTTGATAAAGTCTTGTTCTGCCCTTAATGTTTTAAGCTAGATAGAAACCACTTTTTTTTCCTCAACCATATACTAATACTTTCTGTCACCAGGCAAATATTTAAACTTGATATCATTTAAATTTAAATATTATTAGCCACCCAGCCAGCATATGAACCCAGACCCTAACTTGAAAGAGAACAGTCATTTCATACCTAAGGGTGTGCCAAATTTGTCACTTTCCTGTAGATACCAAATAAGAATTCAGAATAAGTTGTGTAGTTCTTGTAATATGCATCAAAACAATGATACTTATTCCCCTTTTTGGAGATGATAGGGAGTGGGCAGAATGGAGGTCTGGGCAAAAACGACACCAGCCTGATTTAAAGGCATATTAAACCTGGGCAGTTAGGAGAATGCTCACAGCAATGTTTAATGAGTCCTGGGCCTGTGTAGGGCAATACTTTCTGGGTTACTAAAATCATTTATCTCTTTAGTGGGAAGGGCCAGTGAGTTTTAATCAAATCTGAATCACTCAAATTTTGATTCTCAGTAAAGAGTGCCTCTCTCAAGGTCGCTGTGAAGATTAAACATAACATGTGAAAATGTGAGTTAAAAATTAGTGATGAATATATATTTGCTGCTCAATTTTTTGGTCTCTATCTGTAGGAGTATATTTCCTACTAAATTTTAGCTGACTTTATTATTATTTTTAGGAAGGCTGTTGGGATGGCTGCTGGGAGGAGTCTTTAAGATGTTTTGTAATTGCTCCCAAATTAAGTGGATTAATAGAGGAGTTTCCCCCATGTCTCCTGATGTGGATCCATCTCTGGATGTCTCTTACATCATCAGTGTGCGTTTTAGTTTGTCTTTGATTGTTGTTGTGATTACCATAAACTCCCTGTAACCATCTGGGCCATAGGGTTGCACTCATAAGGGTAAGGCTTTGTAGCATGGGGAGCACGGAGTGTTGCATGGAGAGTGTGAGCACTGGCTTAGATCTGTTCTGCAGTCTCCACCTTGCTAACTGGGTGTCACTTAAGACCTATACCTAAGTTTCTTGAGCTGGAAAATGGGAAGAATATCTGCTTAATGAGGATTAGGTAAGATGAGGGATGTAGTTGCCCAGCAAGGAAGGGTATTTGGTAATCATTATTTGCTTATGTGTTTGTTTTAATTGGGAGAATACACATACCATAAAATTCCTATTTAAAGTGAACAGTGTCGTGGTGTTTAATATATTCACATGGTTGTACGACCATCACCACCATCTAATTCCAGAATATTGCATCACCCTGAAAAGAAAAACTTGTACCCATTAGCAATGACTCCTCATCTGTTCCATCCCAGTCCCTGGCAACCACTAATTCTTTATTTATATGGATTTGTTAGTAATTATTATTAATAGTAATAAAAATGACAAGTGCTTGTTCTCCTTTGCTGTTTAAATGAAGTGTTTTTGCCTGATTGGGACTTAATGCCATTGAAGTTTATGTCTTAGAGAGTGATGGTATAATTTTAAGAAGGAAAATGTCATGTTGAAGGCAGGATCTGGACATTGGTTCTGCTGTGAAAGGATTAGGCAGACAAACAAAATGAACTTTGCTTCTGGTCTGGCAGAACTGAGAGTGCCCTTGAAATAGGGTGCCTGCGTCACTGTGGGACATCCTGCCAGTCAGTTCCAGTGAACAGAAATGGCAGCATCAGCTGGCAGTGTCTTATGAGAGTGATTGTCCCTCACAGTTTCTGTGATGGAAATTGGCTCTGCTGTCTAAGTCATACAGAGTACTTGAAACTAGAGGTGACACTGGATAGCAAATTGTTTTATTTAATATTTCTTGTAACACCACTCTTGTTTTCTTTGGTAGAGCAGGAAGGGATGTCAGAAGATCTGCAGTTGAGCCCCAGCTGGCTACTTTGTGTATGAGCTTTGGCAAATCACTTTACCACTAGGCCTTAGTTTTCCTTATCTATAAACTGGGAGCAAGAACTTCCTATCTTCAGTCCTGCATGAATTGAGAGCCTTGGCATTGCTGTGCGGTGGCTTCTGTGGCATAAAGAATGTAAGCTTTGAAATCAGAGGTTAGGATTTTGATTCCAAACTGTACTTTGAAGTTGTATGACCTTGCTCAGGTAAATTTAAGTTGAACTTTGTTTTTTCTACTCCATAAAAGTGGATTAGGGCTTCTGAATGGGTAAAGTGGAGAATTCAAAGTGTCAGACAATAAAGAAAGGACTTTAGTCCTGTTACCTTTCCTTGAATGGATTAGCTATCCAGAACAACCTATTGCTCTGTCACAGAAGAAGAGTGTTTCAGAGCTTTCCTGCCTAGAATTGAATTTAGAGATACTAGCATGTTCAATTGCCAAACCCATCCTGACAGGTATCTCTCTTCTTAGCTCTTGAGCCTAGTGGGCCTCTAGGCAAGATGTCCCTGCCTATTGGGATGTACCGCCGGGCCTTCAGCTATGATGATGCCCTTGAGGACCCTACACCCATGACTCCTCCTCCATCGGACATGGGCAGCATCCCCTGGAAGCCAGTGATTCCAGAACGCAAGTATCAGCACCTTGCCAAGGTATCTGATTCTACTGACTGCTTCTGGCAAGCCCAACCTCTTCGTTTTTCTTCCTCTGCTCCAGAAGCCTTCCATGGCTCCTGACACCCATAGAATTGGGCAATTACCAATCCCTGTATGTTTTTAGTGCCTCAGCTGGAGTTGGTGGGCCTTTTTATTCTTGTGAATTCAAACTAGAATGGCCATGTCTTTTCCTACCTGAGACTCTTCTGTGTCATCCCCCCGTCCCGTGATCCAACCATGCAAATTATTTAAGATTTCTTCAGTGGGTATCTTATGCCTCCAAGTCTTTGTGTCACACTGCTCATTGCCTGGGATGTTTACAGTCCCCATCCTGTTCTCCCTCCCCTGTTTCCATTCCCACTGCCTGATAAATGGTATCCTTTAAGTCTTAGTTCAGACATCTCTTCTGTGAGGATTTTCCTCCCGTCCCAATACCTCTCCCTTTGAGCTCTGCCCTGTACCACGGACCCCTGTCATAATCCCTACATTATTTTATCACCTCCCATTAGCTTTTTGAGGTCAGGGGCCATGTCTAATTTTGTACCCTCATCTGCAGTATCTAGCAGAGGACCTGGCATAAAGTAGGTTCCAAAAAAATGTTCATTGAATGATTAAGGGAAAAATTGGCTCTTTTGTGAACACATGCTGTGCTTTTCCTCATGCTGTTCCTCCTGCCTCAGATGGCTCTTCCCTTCCATTGCCATCCTCCATAAAAGATGCCTCCTTCCTAAGCGCCCCCCCCCCCACACACCCGTTCCTCACTGCACCTTGATCTGCTCTCCAGCCCTTTTGTGCAGTTTGGTTCTCACATGCTTGTAGCAGACATGTGTCCTGACTGCAGGGCGTGTGTCTCTCTCACTTCTGACTCCAGTCACCAAGAATGCAAGAAAGTTGGCACTGTTTGTTGCCCAAATCAGCTAGGCCTGCCAAGTTCTGGTAAGGCCATTTAACCTGCAGCTAGTTGCACTGAACTTTGAACCGGTGACAGCTCAGGGCGTGGCAGAAAGTGCACAGTAAGCAGCTGCTTAAGCTGACTTAGATGTGAATCCCTTAAGGGTCTGTGTACTAGCAATGACTTTGAGGACACAGCTTCACGCCTCAGTTACAGTATCTCGCACCTGAGAGATGAAAATACTTTAGATCATGGAGGTGTTAAGTGGGGATAACAAAAGAGGATTAAAAGGCTTGACACATTGGGTGTCAGTAGTGTGACTCCTGGCTCCTTGATTAACTTTCACTTGGTAGAGCTATATTTAATCCTTCCTTTCTAGTGAACCCCCTTGGCCTTCCCCACAAAGCTCTCAAAATAGGGAGCTTCTTTCTATGAAAGCATCCCCTACAGCTCTGGGGGGAATTCCTTGGGTCAGTTATCTATGGAAATCTGTTTCAAATCTACTCATTTGTTAAAGAGAAAATATTTAGTGTAGAAAGTACAGGCAGTGCTAGGGGAAAAGGGCTCAGCAGCCTAACTGCGAGGCCGGAGCAGCTGACTCCAGGGACAAGGGCAGAAAACAAGCATGGCTCCTTCTTTTTTTTTTTCTTAAGATTTTATTTCTTTAAATAAATAGAGCCTTTGGGAGTGTGCACAAATGAGGGGAGGGGCAGAGGAAGAGCGTCTTTCAAACAGACTCCTTGCTGATGGCCCAACTTGGGCTTTGATCACACGCCCTTGAATCATATGACCTGAGCCTGAACTAAGAGTCGGATGCTTAAATGACTCAGCCACCAGGTGCCCCCAGCATGGCTTCTGGTAGTGCTTTGAAGGGGCACACCCTTTTCATCCTAAAGGCTGCTGCTTACTCGTAACACTGGGCAAGGGGTGGGCTTCATTTTCTGGCAAGCCCCAGCTGGAATGGTTGACAGCTTGGAACAACTGCTGTCTCATAGGAAGGCTTGGCTTGACTCCTTACACGCATTCTTTCATGTGTCCCGACTGTCTGGGTCCAGACCGTCAACTGCGCTCCAAGTAAGGAAGCAGAGGCCCCTCTTGAGTCGGGTTATAGCTAAAAGATGCAGATCTTATTTTGTAACAAGGATGCAGCCTTTCAGTACTTTCTTCTGCTCTCCTTCTGTTGGACCATCTTTCTCCTCAGTTTCTTTGGAGAAGCAGAGAACAGAATAAACATAGTTTTCTTCTCCCCGCTCCACCGAAGCATAGTTTCTGGTGTTTAGATTACAGAAGGTGCTATGTCTCAGCTCTCTCATGTGAAAGATGAGGAGCTACTTAGATTTTTTTTTTTTTTTTTTTGGTTTGTCTTGAAAGACTATTACTTGAACTTTCAGAGCAGCAGGCATCAAAGTATGGTCTTGGGTACTAGCAGCATTAGCATCATCTGGGAATTTATTAGAAACATGAATTCTTGAGCACACTCCACCCCTACCCTTCATCAGCTCTGGGTTGGGCCCAACAATCTGTTTAACAAGTCCTCCCATGGGATTCTGATGCTCAGCAAAGTTTGAGAACTACTTAGCAAATGCAGTGATTAAGCAAAAGCCAGCATAGTGCCTGATACCTGGTCGGGTTTAGTAATAAGAGTTTCTTCTACTTTCTTAAGGACACAGTAGCATAGGATAGTGGACAGACAGAGGCTGGGCAGGTAGTAGACCTCACAGCTTCAAATTCTTGCTTTCCCACTTGTACAAATTCATATTGTGCATATAACGTCTTTGTATGTTGTCACTATGGATAATAGCTATGTCACTGGGCAGAGACAACCAGCCCCCTCCTTCGGATCGTTACGTATCAAATGAAAGATATTTTAGCAACTTCTTCCCCCAAAGAGTAAATTTTGGCATGTGACTCCTCTGCCCTGCTCAAGCGCCTCCTTACCTCTCTTGAACAGGCGGAGGAAGGAGAGACCAGTGTCTCCTCCCCTGCCATGACCATGTCATCGGCCACTGACAGTGTGGACAAGGCCCCTGTGGTGAAGGCTAAAGCTACCCATGTCATCATGAATTCTCTGATCACAAGTAAGCACTTTTCCTCCTCAGAATAGAATGAAGTAAGGATGGGAAAAGTTTGGGCTTCCTGTAAGCTAGCTGTGGGGGATTCTGCAAACTCCTGTGCCTTAGCAGGCCATGTCCTGACTGTGCTGGCACTTGTCAGCTTGGTTGATGATGCACTGGTGTTGAAGATCCACTTACTTGGAAGATTTGCCAAATATTAAGTATCTCAGTTGATTTAGGTATACTCCTGTTGCTTTGTTGATACAATCTTATTTTCCCACATCATCAGTGTGGCATTGAACAGGTGACTTAACTCTCAAGACAGTTTCCGTCTCCATGAAATGAGAAATCTGGCTGGCAGGCTGAGGGGAGGTTTAGGTGGCCCCAGTACTTGGTGGCTGGGAGCTGCTGCTGTGACTGTCTCAGGCTCTCCTGGAGAAGGTGACACATACACCAAGGCATCTCCCACCTGCCCTGCACTACTACTACTTTTTTTTAATTGTAATGCTCAAAGTTGTTTCTTCTCCTGGACTTGAGGCAAGTTTGGTGCCTCAAGCATTTTTAGCCTTTTTTTTTTTTTAAGATTTTATTTACTTATTTATTCATGAGAGACACACACACACACACACACACAGAGAGAGAGAGAGAGAGAGAGAGAAAGAGAGAGAGAGGCAGAGACACAAGCAGAGAGAGAAACAGGCTCCATGCAGGGAGCCTGACGTGGGACTTGATCCCGGGTCTCCAGGATCGCGCCCTGGGCTGAAGGTGGTGCTAAACTGCTGAGCCACCCAGGCTGCCCCATTTTTAGCCTTAAGAGTGTGTGGTATGTGGCTTTAATGAGACCAGAAATGAGAGCTTGCTTTTTTTATTTTTTTAACTTTTAAAACCTTGTAACAAGTTAACTAAACTTGTTGGTTCTGGAGGGCCCTTCTAGATGCTGTGGGAAGTTAACATCTATTAGAGGCACAGCTCTGCTTGTCAGTGGTAGCTCTGCAGAGCACATAGAGGTTTTCCCTGGTTGGCTCAGTTTTGAAGTCGGGAGCTCTTGTTTATTGGCTCCAGGAGGGCATCAGCTTGTCTTGGGCAATTTCTGGAGAATTCACCTAAAAACCACAAGTCCAAACTCTTACTTGGACTTTTTATTCATACATAAAGGCATTGTTTGAATCAGCAGCTGCTAGCTTGGGAATGTATTTTGCCAGCTTGGGAATGTATTGTGGCAGTGTTAGAGAGCTTAGTCATTGTTCACAGTCATAGCACAGTATTAACTTCTTCATTGAAAATATTGTTCATCAGCAGTACAGAATGCTGTAATAGCCCAGTGTGCTACTGTCACTCAGGTACTTGTCTGGTCACTTCCACTTTGATGTATATCTTTATATAATCACAGGTGTAGTAGACATGCCATTCTGTTTTTCTCAACTAATTCTACCATGAACTTGGATGTTGCTCTAGTCTTAAAGAACCAATCACTGCATTTAAAATCCAGGTATTCGTGTACTATAATTCATTAAATTCTTTCCTGCTTTTTAAATTTTCAGGTGGCTATCTAGTAATACTGGAAAACATCTTTACGTGTTTTTTTTTTTTTTTTTTGAGATTTATTTATTTATTCATGAGAAACACACCAAGAAAGAGAGAGGCAGAGACCCAGGCAGAGGGAGAAGCAGGCTCCATGCAGGGAGCCTGATGTGGGGACTCGATCCTGCATCCCAGGATCATGCCCTGAGCCAAAGGCAGATGCTCAACTGCTGAGCCACCCAGACGCGTCCCTACATGTTTTTTTCTTTGCTTCTGTTTCTTTTTGTTTCTTTCTCTCTCTCTCTCTTTTTTTTTTTTTGCTTCTGTTTCTAATGACAATGAAATAGTTCCTCAGAAGGGGATGACTAAGTCATGACGGACATCTGGTGTCCAGGCTTTTGGTCCACAGCTGCCGCATTCCTGCACGAAGGGGTGCATTATGTAGTGTGGGTGCAGATTAAGCAAACATATAGCTGTCAGTCAGTCCACAGCATAACTGACTTACTGCTGTCCGGTCATACTGCCTAACCTTGAGTTAGGCCTGTCTGTCTGCTAGGTGTGGTGATGGCAGATCTTATACACGAGAAACGTGGGATTGGTAGACCTTGTCTAGTTCACTGCATGTGCTTTGTGGTTTGGATCTAATTGGTACCTCGGTGCCATCCAGCCTAGATGTGACCCGTTTCTCTCTGGCAGAAGTCTCTGTGGAGAATGAGTGTGGTGAGTCGGGCTGAGGAAGCTTTACACGTGGAGAACTTGCACTGTTTCTGAATGTTAGCTGCCTTCTCCATGTTGTATTTCTTTTTTTTAAATTTAAATTTAAATTTTTTATTATTTTTTTTTTATGTTTTATTTATTTATGATAGACATAGGTAGAGAGGCAGAGACAGGCAGAGGGAGAGACAGGCTCCATGCCGGGAGCCCGATGTGGGACTTGATCCTGGGGCTCTAGGATCCCGCCCTGGGCCAAAGACAGGCGCTAAACTCCTGAGCCACCCAGGGATCCCCTCCATGTTGTATTTCTAAATACAAAGAAAATGTCAGGGTACAAACAAAAGGAAGGGAAGGAGTGTTTCCCTGGAAGATATTTGTTGCTTTAGGAGTAACCTGTTCTGAGCTTGGTGTGAGGGAAGCTTCCTAGTTAGAGAACTTTTGTACAAGGTTCAGCATTATTGCTGTGATGCTTGTCTGGGGGACCCCTCTTCCTCAGATAGTCAGTGTGGTCTTTTGCTTCTGTAGAGAACCATGAATGTCTGTGTTGAACTCCCTGTTTGTGGTAGGAGAGGGGAATAGGCATGACTATCATCTCCTCTGTTCCCAGAACAGACCCAGGAGAGCATTCAGCGTTTTGAGCAGCAGGCAGGGCTGAGAGATGCTGGCTACACACCACACAAGGGCCTTACCACCGAGGAGACCAAGTACCTTCGAGTGGCAGAAGCGCTCCACGTAAGCTTGTTTCTTAGGAACTTTAAAAAAGCCCTCCTCTTTCATAACTTAAGACATGCTGTGGCTTAGAAGTTACTGGCTCATTTAGGTGAGGATTGTGGAGAGCAATGGAAAGATTTAGGTGAGCAGTTCAGAACTGGTTTAGTCCCACCATGGTGGCACTTTCTGGAAAGCTCCAGAGCTCTTAGCCTGGTGGTTTCTGTGTATCCATCTACAAAGTTGGGGGTATCTGCCTTATGTCCTTATGGTTAGGAGGAGCGGCTGAGACCCTGAGCTTACACATGTGATGTTTGTGAGCACATTACAAACAATGAAGTGGGTACTTTGTGTACCAGAGTGACCATCTTTGAGGGAGAGAGGAGAATCGGGTAGTCTTAACAGAAGTAATACTTTAGTGGGGAAGGAATATCATGTTCTATGTTTAATTTTAACAATATTAAAATCAAATGTAGAATTGACATGTTTCTGCCTTTCCATTTCCAAAATTGGGATGAGTGAAGAATAATTTTTGATAAAGCTTTTTAAAAGATTTTATTTATTTATTCATGAGAGACTCAGAGAGAGGCGAGACATAGGCAGAGGGAGAAGCAGGCTCCATGCTGATGCTGGAGCCTGATGGGGGACTCAATCCTGGGACTCCAGGATCATGCCCTGGGCCGAAGGCAGGCGCTTAACCACTGAGCCACCCAGGGATCCCCAATTTTTGATAAGGTTAATGATGACTCGACAGTTGTATGAATGACATAGTTTCAAGGGATTTTCTGTAGGAATGGCAGTTGGTACTTAATAGTGCCCTATGACCTACGAGACACTTGGTTTACTTAATCTTTATGTTAATCCTTGGAGGGCAGCCCGGGTGGTATATAGTATATAGAAGGATGTATCATAATACAGATCTGGTGGCCTGTGGGCAAGGATATAAGCCATTGTGGACTGTTTACTTTTACAATGAGCATCCCAGATGATTCTTTGCATCCTAAGTTTAAAAAAGCACTGCTGTAGGGGATTGGGTTGGGGCTGGTGGCCAGTTTAAGCTCTCAGACAAGACGTATACTTCCGGGGAGAGGCACTGTCTTTGATAACTTCCAGGATGGGTGTGAGTTGAATTCTGCAAGTGAGCAGTTCACTCTGTATAATGGTAGAGTTGGCTTTGGGCCATTTTCTGCATCTCAGCCACATAAGTAGAACATGAGGATGGCTGAAATCCCAGCTTACATAAATTGATATGTTGAGTATTTGAGAACATGCACATTTGTTTGAAATGTAGCTTGGGCTTACTAGACATGGAGCACACAGACAGTGGAAGGGCCTTGATCTAGAAGAACTGAGAAGGAGATTTGTCTCTCCTCTCCTAGACAGCTAGTCTGTATGTTAGAGGTGTATTTACAGTGTCCAGGGAACCCAGAGTGACTGGCTATGGGAGGAAAAGGGCGGAAAGGGGACAGGCTCAACAGAGAAAGCATTTAGCTGGAGAGGAATAGCAATGCCTGAGTCTTAGCCTTGAGACACCAGGAAGGGCTAGGCTTGTATCTGGCAGGAGAAGCAGCTTGAGATTTGGAGGCCCTACCTGAAAGGCCAGGAAGGCCAACAGCTTGAGTTCTGGTTCTTCCACTTATTGGCTGGCTGGGCAAGTGTGGAACAGACGTCTCCGAAAGTAAAAACTAATGTGATATTTAGTACAGAGCTGTTTGAGATATGTGGTAGAAGGAACAGATTTTCTTAAAGATAGAATTTTGTCTAATATGGCAAAATCAAAGGAATATCTGTTCTGTAATCCAAAATTATTCTACCTGCTAATGGTTATCCTTTTGCCTGAAGTTAAAGTGGGAACCAAGTTTTTACACCCTAACTAGCTGTTTGATATTAGCTCTCATTTTTGAAAAGTTTCTCTTCTTAACCCATCTGAACAGAAACTAAAGCTACAGAGTGGAGAGATAACAAGAGAAGAGAAGCAGCCAGCTTCAGCCCAGTCTACCCCAAGCAGCAGCCCCCACTCCTCCCCTAAGCAGAAGTCCAGGTGAGCCCTTCCTGTGAGCCTCTTGAGCTGCAGTGTGCTTCTAGGAAAGTGAGGGCTGCATACAAAATTGGAATTTAAGCCTGTGGTTTCAGGGAGCAGGGGAAGTTGACAGTTCCTAGTCTCTTGGCGTGAGATGCTTCTAGAGGTGTAGGAAGGGGATATAAGGGTACGCTTTGTTCTTTCTCTTCCAGAGGCTGGTTTGCTTCTGGTTCTTCCACAGCCTTACCTGGCCCAAATCCTAGCACCATGGATTCTGCAAGTGGAGACAAGGACAGAAACTTGGCGGATAAATGGAGCCTCTTTGGACCAAGATCTCTTCAGAAGTCTGATTCAGGTTAAGCCAGCTCCTTCAAGAAAAACCCATGTGGATGGCATTTTACCATGTATACTGGGGGCTGCCTACTAATTTTGAAATAATTTGCTTTTTGGTTTGCTTCTGTAGGAGGTTTTGCCACCCAGACTTACAGAGGAGCCCAGAAGCCTTCTCCAATGGAATTGATCCGTGTCCAGGCCACCCGAATGGCTGAAGATCCAGCAACCTTCAAACCGCCCAAGATGGACATTCCAGTGATGGAAGGGAAGAAACCACCACCACGGACCCATAATCTCAAACCTCGTGACTTAAATGTGCTCACACCCACTGGCTTCTAGAGCTCTTTGTATTCCAGGGACTCTGGATAGAGGGTATCTTGTACCCAACTTCCCTTTTACCTTGGCTTTGACATAGGAAAGTTATTTTTGTTTTTAAAACCTCTTAAACTGAGGCTGGAGCTAGAGATATGATTGGCTTTTGAGAAATGTTAATGCAAAGCTTGTCCTTGTTAGAAGAAGCCATTTTGTGTGGTTTAAAGTTAAATAATCCCAGCAGTGATGTATGGGGGATCTCATACCCATTTTTGTATCATTTAACCTTAGACAAGAACTTTGATCATTGCTTACTAGGTAAACAATGTGTTGTTCCAGAACTGAGGCTTCTTGATTTCTTTACCGCTGTAAACATGTGCATGGACAAATCATGGAGCACAGGTGTTCCCAAACTAGTTGAGACTTTGGCCCTCTTGATTGTACACTTCTGTGTGCTCCAGCCTTGTCAGTTGGGGGACCTCAGATCTATTTGAGATCTGGGTACAGTTAACAGCCAGACTTGGCAGGGACCCCCCCTTCCTGTGCTGAACCAGGGCTGTCCTTGTGTTTTGGTAGGCCTTACAGATCACTTCATCCTGTAGCCACTTCTTACCAGAGCACCTCTTTGGCTAGCGCTGTTGGAGGGATGCTTCTCTTTTATGTGTCACAGAACAAACACTAGTCTTGCATATCCTTTTTTGCACTTTTAAAATTAGATTAATTTAACTCCAGTTTGGTTGAAAACTTCCTAAGGGAGAAAATTCAGTGTATTGGTTTCCTATAGATAAGTGGATGTCAAACTTTAAAGTACAGAAAAGGTGGTACCTACATTTAGATGATAGTCTTGAGGTTCATGTGAAACTAGTGTCACCCTATTTTGATTTTTTTGTTTGTTTTCTATTTTGATTTTCTTGTTCAGGCCAAGCATAAAACCTTTTTTTCTGGGAGGTGGAAGAATTTAAAATTTTTCTATATGAAATCATTGTCCCCTGGAAAGAGCTGCATACTTTTATAAATATATAAGTTACTAAGGAAAGGAACTAAGGAAGCCACTTTTAAATTTCTCCTCTCACCATGTATATGGTCAGTTACTGTCTTAAACACTGGCTCAAATTCCCACTGTTTTTTTGTTCTGGATAATATCATGTCTACATGGGAGCCGAGCTGACCTTTCATTGGGAAGCCCTGGAGTCTAAAATGATCAGAATAATTAATTTATTTGTGTCTTCTGTTATGCTTGTATCTCTTATTTGTTTTGACAATAAACTTCTTAAACTGCTTTCTCAAATGTGGATAGCTTTTTTTTTGGGGGGGGGTCTTTTTAAGAGTTCTTACATTTTGCCTACTTAGAGTCATAGAAACTAAGCATGGTAAACTTGGCATTTTGAAAAACCATTGCCTTTTTATTGTATCCTTTTAACATCAAATTATTTGTAACACACTCCATTCCTTTGTTTCTATCCCCCACCCCCATTATGTTAGATCTTAACAGACTGGCCACAAAGTCAAATTCATAGGCAATAGAACAGCTCTACTATAGGATGTTTGTGTTCCATCAGGGAGAAATGAGTCTTTCTTTTCCGAAACAGGTTGTTGGTACCTTGAATGACATACATTGATGTCCAGAATTTGTTCAGCAGAGGGCTTCTTGTTTCACATGTTGAATGGAAATGTTAAACATATAATGCATATAGTAATACCTGTTTCCAAAAGAGTATAGATAAATAATTTATTAAAAAATATATACACCTTGTATATTTAAGCCATATTAGAGAACAGGCTAGGATAGAATATCAAAAAAAGGTATTTACTAAAGTGTTAGAAAGTCATTATAACCTACAGATAAATAAGATAGGTTTGGTCCTGTAAGATTTTTAACTACTTCAGCTACTTTTAGAACTTGCAAGTAGTCGGAGATAGAATTCAAGAGGTATTCTTGGTGTTCAGTGCTTAGCAGGGCCTCAGGGGCTGCTCCAGTTCTTGGGTGAAGGCTCTGCATCAGGGTTCAAGTCAGCCGCGTAGAAGAGCAGGAGCTTCAGCAAGTGCACTTTGTCTTGGAGCTGGGGCGCAAGCGGCTCCCCCAGTATTTGGGTCAGGCGGCTGCGGAAGGCCTCAATCTGCCTCTCCACGTCCACCGCTGTGATGTCATCCCCTTGCTGGGGCTTGGGCTTAATCCTTTTGATGATTAAGTCTTTTCGATCAATCACTGAACTCCGTAAGTGCTCTGCAAGAGGAAAAAGTCAGTTGAACTCTTCTGAACTGCTTTTTTTTTTTTCCTTTATGACTTAAGTAGAAGTCCAATTTTAGTAGGCAGGGTCTGGGCAAAGACTTGACTGGTGGCTACTGGAGTACAAGCCAAAGGCCATTTAAGTATCTGTGGTCACTCCATTTCTCAAAAGTCCTTTGTTCTTGGCTTTCTGGTCCTCAAGTTTTGCATACTAAAATTGTACAGATTATCATTGTCTTAGTTTTTCACCTTTGTGGATTTAAATAATGACCCTAGATTAAACAATGCAACTATACTTCAAGTTGATATAACCACTTGAAAAACACTCATGTGATTTTTTAGTATCTTCAGGGAGATTGATTCTAAGTATAAAAAGAATTGCAAAGAAATATTGAATTCGTTTCTTAGCTTGCTGTAGTGTTGGGCTGCTGTAGTAATTGCTTAAAAAGAAACAGTTTTGTATATGTTGTATGATAGATCAAATAAATATATTCATGTTCAAAATAAGGGTATATATATATATGTTTTTTTTTTCCAGACAGCAGGTAATATTTTATTGGGCCTTGAAAGCTTTAAATACAGAAGTGGGGAGGGCTGGCAGGGGGCAGATATGGACACGCTGGCATTTGAGAATGGGCTTATCAGAAGAATCACATAATCAACAGTTGGACAGAGAGCTGGGGAGAAAGGCAATCTGGGATAGAAGTGGGGTGCCAGCTGGTAGCTGGCCTTGGGTGTCAGGATCATGCCCTACATTAGGACAAAATCTTTCATGTTTCTGATTTGAGGACAACTTAAAAAAAAAAAAAACCCACCAAATAAAAACACAAAATCAGCTGGAACAGATCGTGGACAGCAGTGCCAGTCATCTCAGAAGACAATGGCCTGCCCTTTGACAATGGCCTTCTGCAGCAGCGGGAGAAGAGTGACTCAGTTACAGAATAGGAAGAGAGGAAGAATTCTGAGGGAGTGGAAATTGAGGTATTGGTATGAACTCATTTTTTTTTTTTAAAGATTTTATTTACTTATGCATGAGAGACACACAGAAGCAGACATAGGCAGAGGGAGAAGCAGGCTCCCTGTGGGGAACCTGATGTGGGACTTGATCTTAGGAACCTGGGATCACAACTTGAGCCAAAGGCAGAAGCTCAACTTCTGAGCCACCCAGGTGTTCCTGAACGTATATTTCTAAAACAAATTATGTTATTTACTAGCTCTGTCCTCAGAAGGGTCTAAAAGCTGGTACCCCAGTAGTAATCAGCATACTTAGCACCCAGATCTTGATTTCTTAATGCTTTCCCTCATTCCTTACCAAGAGAAACCAGAATTTTTTTGGGGAGGAGAGGCTGATTCTAGGACTATGGCAAGGAAATTACAAGGTGAACCTGGAACATCTTTTATAAGAAAGTAAGGGAGTGTTTAAAAATAGTGGGGGAAAGCACACCTGCGCACACACACATACACACAGGGGAACATGTCAAAAGAACAAGCCAGCCTGAAGAGGCCTCTTATTGGCTACATTTTGGACATGGTCATAAAAAATAATGACAAAAATGGATTATACACATTAAATTTTAAAAAGTGCCCAGTCCATAGTAAATAAAAAAGGAGGGGAGGAAGAAGGGAAAGATCCTTTTTGCAGAAAAAGGCCAGTTAATAACTGTAGAAGCAGTTAGAAAGTAACCACTTTCTAATTTACTCTTGGAATAACTGATTCAGGTAAGAACCATCATCAGTGGGTGCTAAAACTCTTAAGTGAAAGGCTGAATAGGACATTCACAGTCTCAAAGTTTCACTCTCTGGACTTACTAATAACGGAAGACAGCAGTGGGGAAATCTGATAGACTCTACCTTAACCAAATGATCACATTTAACATCACCAATAAGGGGACCAAACTGATATTACTGCCTCTTGCTGTCATGTACTGGGAAGGAGTGTAATCTTCAGAGTTCCTGCCGATAGGATTTAACAGGACTCTGATCACAAGAAATAATTAGACAACCCCAATTATGGGATAGGTTACAAGACAACTGGCCTGGATCTTCAAAAATGTCTGTATTATGAAAGACAAGGAAAGGGTGGGAAGTGTGTAAAAGACCAAAGAGCGTACAACAACCGAACACAATGTGTGGCATTTGGAGCCTAGCTCAAAACAAAACCAGCCACCTATAAAGGATATTACTGGGACATATTAGAGAATATTCTATGGAAGATAAATTTGTTGAGTGCGATAATGAATTGTGGTTGTATGGGAATATCCTTATCCTTAGGTCGAAGTATCTTTGGGCATGAAGGATTATGATGGTACAACTTACTCTCAACTATCAAAAAGAAATTATTTAGGTGGATCAATATATAAACCAAATGTGGCAAAATGTTAGCCAGTGAATCAACATAAAAGGTAAATGGGTGTTCACTGCACCGCTTGTTCAACCTTTTTGTAGTTCCAAAAATAAAAATACTGGGGAAAAGTAAAAGAAGTTACAAAGGTCTTCATCCAAATCCACAGATCAGCTCCAATAGGACTCTGGAAGTACAGGGAGTTCAGGCAAAGGAGCACAAGTCATGGAGAAAGCGAATGGATGGAGGAAAGATCCGAGGACCTGCGGACTCCCAGATGCACCAGCATTCGCTAGCACATCACTTTCTTCATCTCCTCATTTATAACATGGGGACAATGGCACCTCTTCTAGCACGGTTATTAGGACTGAACTACATCTTATCCAGAAATATGGGAAATATAGAATTAACTTATTTTTAAGCAATATGTAGTAGGTTACATTTTCAAATAATATGCTTAGTATGTTTTTCTTCAACCTTCAGGTATCTTTTCAGGTAAAGTCCCTCTAAATTTATAGCACTGGGCTTAACGGTGAAGTAAAAAAAAGTATAACAAATACACTACAGTGTCTGAAAAGGAAACAGGAAGCAAGACTGCCTTGAGATGTCCTATCAGGGCCCCTTCAACATTCAATCAACAAAAATTCCAGTGAGCACCGACAATGCATCTGGAAGTGCACCAGTCTCTGAGACCGGGGCCCAACCCTGATAAACTGACTCTAGTTGGGGGAAGCCTAACAGTTAATTAGCCAGCAAAAACAATTACAGTTTTGGTGAGTACAATCAAAGAAATAAATTGGATGCTGTGGTAAACAGTGGTATTGGGGGATGAGGGAAGCAGCCCACTCTAGTCAGGGAGGGTCTCTGAGCTGGGACCTGAAGGATGAGAAGGAGGCAATTGTGCAAAGGTCTAGGGGGAAATGCAGGTCAGGTAGTGAGAACAGCAAGTGTAAGTGCCCTGAGGCAGGAAAAAGCTTGTTTTGAGAACTAGAGATACAATGTGAGTGGTAAGGGAAAGCCATAGCAGATGAGATTGGAAGATAGGCTGGCCGCAGAGCCACGTGGAGTTTGGCCTTTGAGAGCAAATGAAGTATCCAGAGGGTGCCGAGCCTGGAGTGTGCTCTGCTTTACTCTGCTGCTGGAGACTGGGTGTAGGGGGACAAAAACCCTTCAGTAAAATGGAGTTTCTTAAGGCATATGCTACTCTGAAAAATACTAAATGACTTTGAGGAAATGGAAAGAACTGGCTGAAGAGAGGGAACGGGGAAGACTTGGGGTGGGAGCAGGAAGGATCTGGAGTTTCCTAAGGTAATAGGGGACATTCAGGCAAGTGGTGGTGGTTTTCATCCAAGCCTGTCCAAGGGGAGGAACTCCTGGCCAGGGTACCTCAGCCATTCTGGTCCAGTTGACAAGGCCTTGGATTTTCTGCTTCAGTAGGCATGAAAGGTCCTACGTCAGAGGCTACTGCGAACACTGCGCAAGGTGATTTATGCAAAGGGTAGTTTGACACAATGTCATGCAAGATGTCAAGATGTTTCGCTTATTATTATTATTTATCAGGTTCCTAGGCATAACTATGATTATTATTATATTTAATTTTTATTTTAATTTAAAAAAAGATTTTATTTATTCATGAGAGATACAGAAAGAGAGAGAGAGGCAGAGACAAGCAGAGGGAGAAGCAGGCTCTACGCAGGGAGCCTGACATGGGACTCGATCCCAGGTCTCCAGGATCATGCCCTGGGCTAAAGGCAGCGCTAAACCGCTGGACCACTGGGGCTACCCTAACTATGATTATTATTTTTAAAGATATTTATTTATTTATTTAGAGCAGGGGGATGAGGAGAGAGGGGCAGAAGAAGAGGGAGAGAAAGAACCTCAAGCAGACTGCACGTTGAGTGTGGAGCCCAACACAAGGCTCCATCTCACGACTCAGATCACGACCTGAGCCAAAAACCAAGAGTCCCACCTCAACTGACTGAGCCCCCCAGGCACCCCCTAAGGGAACTATTATTATTTTATCATCATCATCATCACTATAGGAATCTCCAACCCAACAGTTACACTGAGCTTTTTATCTTCTCCGCAGATTTTCCTCCATTTATGTCAGCAGTGGCTGAAGCCTAGAGTCATACTTCAGACTCAGCCACCCTAACCCTGACAAACTGATCTTCAAAGTGCTTCTGTTTCAACCACTACCTTCCCCGCTGCACTGCCCACATTCAAGCCACCATGACCCCTCCCAGGACCTTCTTATTCCTCTGCAAAACTAAAACTACTTGCCATACCTCGGGGAGAGCAACCTTATGCAAAATCACTTTGATGGCTTCTCTTCACTCTTCAAATCAAGTTGACATTCCTTAACATGGCCCAGAAGGCCCTTCATGCCCTATCCATCTACTATTCTAGTCTCCTCTTGTACAATTCTCCCCTTGCTGTCTACATTCCAGTTTTACTAGCTTGTTCTACGTTCTTTGGACTCACTAAGCAACTTCTTGCCTCAGGGCCCTTGGACATGCTATTTTTTAATATCCTGGAAAACTCTGCCCTATTCACATGGTTAACACTGTTTTTTTTTTTAAGATTTTTTTTATTTATTTATTTATTTATTTATTTATTTATTTATTTATTTGAGAAAGAGAGATAGCATGAGAGGGGTGTTGGGGGTGAGGGGCAGAGAGAGAGAGGGAGAAGCAGGCTCCCCATGAAGCAGGGAGCTGGATGTGGGGCTTGATCCCAGGACCCTGCGATCACAACCTGAGCCAAAAGCAGACACTTTCCCAACTGAGCCACCCAGGAGCCCAACCAATACTTCTTATCCAAGGTGAAGTACCACTTCTTCAGAGAGACCTTTGTGGGTCCCTCCAAAGATAGAGTAGGTGCCTTTTTGTATACTTCTCCTTTCCTTGAGCATTTATTTTAATTGTAATTATATGTTACATGATTATTTGTTTAGGGTCAATCTCTTCACAGTAAGCTCTGTGAGGGCAGGGGTCATGTTGGTCTTATTCGTTGATGTTTTCCCAATAAGAGGGGATCCCTGGTGGTGCAGCGGTTTGGCGCCTGTCTTTGGCCCGGGGCGTGATCCTGGAGACCCGGGATCAAGTCCCATGTCGGGCTCCCGGTGTATGGAGCCTGCTTCTCCCTCTGCCTGTGTCTCTGCCTCTCTCTCTCTCTCTCTGTGACTATCATAAGTAAATAAAAAAAAATTGATATTGAAGTTTTCCCAATAAGCCAGGCACACAGAAGGCATTTTGTAAATATCTCTTGCCTGGATGAATATATGAATTGAACTCATCTTGTCTGCATCTGCTTTTCTCTCCTCTCTGAACAGGGCTCTTTGTAGGAAGGCTAGGTGTCTCTCCTCAGCGTGAACTGAGGCCTGACTTCTGTAGGCCATCCTGCCTAAGCTGTCTAGCCAAGTGGAATTCAGGAAAAGTAGGTATTTTCTTCCTTTAAATACTGGATGTTTAAATTCTTAAGCATTCACAGTTTCAAAATAAGAGGTATTAATTCACAAGTATCAGGAGAGCTCATGGCATAAAGCAATTTGCAACTTTGCTGAGGCTCAAACTTGAGCTGCATGGCTATGGAGCTGGGGTATGGTGGGATTGATTCTCCTGGCCAGAGAAGGCGAGCTCAGTGGGTGGCCCAGCATCTCTGCCTCTGTGGGGCTGCTTTGCTTCCTTTGGAAATATTTACAGAATATGGGGCTTCAGCATATAATTCTCCCCAAGGTCAAGGGTTTGTACAGAAGTAATTTCACCATATACAGAGAGTTTCTAATGAGGAGTTGGAAATTCCTGAGATTCTCTCCCTCTAATCTCCCCTAATGATTCCCTCCAGCATCTTTTTGCTGCACACAGACTTTTGGCAGCAGACCTGGGTTGGAATCTTGGCTCTGCACCTACTTTTCTCTCAGCCTTTGTTTCCTCATCTATAAAAAGGGGATGATACTCACCCTCACGGGGTTATTGGGTTACAAATGTCTGGGTATGCGAACTTACCTAGTCTGTCTTCTTCTCTTCCCCATGCTAACACGTTCCCCTAAGCAAAGGACAAGCTTGGGCTCCCCATCCTCTTCCCTTCTCTCACCCATGGTACAACTCAGGCTGACCCCAAATGTCTTCCACAATGTCCTCAGACCACTTGCAGAGGGCAGAGGTGACTAAGAAACCCTTATGGTAAAAAGCCTACTAACAAGGATACTGACCATTTCAGGGTACCATTTAGCTGTCTTTGGAGGACATTGTTTCCAAACTATTGGTTCTAAATATTTTTTTCTCCCTCTTAACTCTCAGTTTCCAAAGAAAGTGGAGAGAATGGTAAGGATAAAATAGCGCTGGAACACACCTCATTTATTCTTGGTTAATACACACTAGTCTAAGGCTTTCCTCTCCCTTGTTAGAAGCATAAAAAGATTCTGGAATGAAAATGGGTCCCATTTCCATCTTAAGTCATTACTGCCCAAGGCCCAGCTGTATTCCCTGGGAAGCAAAACAGAAGTAAATAAGGAGTTTTAAGGTGAACTTTAAGTAAAATCAGGCTGCTTTAATATTAAACTTTCTGTTTGATCTCCAAAAGAACAATTATGTAAACCTTGACGAGGCTATATATAACATGGAATTTGCCTTTGGGGCTTTGTTCTGAGAAGGACATGTACCTTTCTTTGAGGGTTCAAAAAAATGCACAAACTACACAACCACATATCTCATGGCCTTGACGACACACTTTGAAATTTTAGTTACAGGAGCCTGAAACATAAGAGATTTTGTAGCCTATTCCTGGTGGGCAAAGAAGCAGCCTGAGATTCAACTACCACGGACTGAGTCCTCACTACTTTTTCTCCCATCTGTTAACAATCAGTGTTGGAAATTCTATTTTACTGTTCCCATTTCATAGAAGAAAGTGAGGTTTAGAGACATAAAGTTAGCAGAGTAAGTGGTGGAGTTGGGATTCAAACCCATATCTGTCTTAAATTCAGTGTTTGTTTTTTATTTCTCTACAATAGCTTCCTCAGTTCCAGACCCGAGAGGGGATAAAGGCCATTGTACCTTCCCCAGTGGCATTACTGAGCTAAAATTAACCTCAACATGATCATGGCAAGTAAATATAAAATTTGTCTTATATATACATTTATATATTTACATATACTTATGTATAAATATGTACTTTCCCTCCTCCTATTTCAGAGGGAGTAGACCATTGTGTCCTTCTACCTTCTAATACTTCAATCTGGATTTCCTAAGACTGAGGACATTTATTTTCATAAGCCAGGATCATTATCAAAAATAGGACATTAAATATTAGTTGAATACTATGATCTAATCCATTGAAATTTCACCAATCATTTCAGTAACATACTTTATAGCTTCTTTTCCCTGGTTCAGGAGCTCATCCAGGATCATGTTTTACATTTAGTATTAATGTGCTTTAGTTTGTTTCTAATCTGGAACAGGTGCTTAGTCTTTTATTTTTTTTTAAATATTTTATTTATTTATTCATGAGAGACACAGAGAGAGAGAGTCAGAGGCAGAGGGAGAAGCAGGCTCCATGCAGGGAGCCTGACATGGGACTCCATCCATGGTCTCCAGGATCACACCCTGGTCTGAAGGCAGTGCTAAACCCATGAGCCTCCCGGGCTGTCTGTCTGTCTTTGTTTTTAAGACACTGGCACTTTTGAAGAGTACAGCCCAATTATTTTGTAAAAGGTCTCTCCGGGTGAATTTGTCTGGTGTTTCCTTGTGATTAGATTCAGGTTATGGATTTTTGGCAAGAGCACCTAAGTGATGATGTGTCCTTCTCAGGGCATCACATTAAGAGGAATATGTTTTCTCCCCTAAAAAGTTACTATTCTGGAGGGCACCTCGGTGGTTCAGTTGGTTAAGTGCCTGACTCTTGGTTTCAGCTCAGCTCATGATCTCAGGGTTGTAGGATGATTTCCACTTTGGGCTCCATGCTCAGCAGGGAGTCTGCTGGAGATTCTCTCTCCCTCTCTTGCTCCCATTTCCCCTGCTTGTATGTGCTCTCTTGCTCTCAAATAAATAAATAAATAAATAAATAAATAAATAAATAAATAAATCTGCAAAAAAAGTCACTATTTTTCCTTTTAGAATTAATAATTACATCAGTTTTCCCAAGGGCCTTATTAATCTTTGGCTAATAAAATCATTCTCATTTGAAGCGGCTATTCTGTTATTACCCTCGTCAGTATTTACTTCCTGAACATTAATTAGTCTAACTCTCCTGGATCCTCCTTGATCACTGGCTTTGCCTGGGACTTAAGGAAAGCCACTTTCACAGACTTTAGAGTATCTTACAGCTTCTGCAAGATGTATGCTATGCTTTTACCTTGCCACTGATTTGCTCTGGATTTGTATCATATTGACAGATGTTTACAATGTCCATAGCCAATGAACAAATGACCCAACAGACACTCTGCAATGATGGGCCAGGGTAAGATGCCAGGGCTAATCAGGTCATTGCAGAATACTTCTCACGGTATGATGACTTCTGTTTACCTATACAATTTAATAATTGCAAGGACCACTGTATTATCTGCCATAACAAAAATATGTGAATTCTTCTGTTTTGTAGCAGTGATTCCAAACATGCCATTCTTTGTTCCTTATAGCTATAACCAAGGAACGATGCTTTACTTTGGCTAACAAATTAGAATCCCCCACGTAACTTCAATTCATAATAATGGCCATTGTGAGACTCCCATACAATCTTGTTTGTGAATAAATTACCTCTTAACACATGCTTACCTCTTAACACATGCTGATAACTGGATAACAGGAACTGCAGGTGCTCAACAAGTTCATCCCACATCTGCCACTGGGTTTTATCCGACTGCGGAGAAGTGAAAGCAATTGGTAGGAGGTGCCCTCTTCAGTTACATGCTCAAGGGTGAAGGGGAAGGTTTTCTAGGCCTGACTGAGGCGGGGAAGCATGTACCTGACACTTGAGCAGTGATGTGGAATTGTTCAGAAAATAGAGGGCCTGGGCCAGAGATAAGGGCAGGCGGGTGGGCGTCTCACAGCTGTGGAGGAATATGATTTCTAACACTTTGCAGCGCAGAAGGTGGCTTTCCATGGTAGTAAAGAACATCTCCCTGTGTGGAGAAGAGAAAGAGGGCTAACCATCACCACTATCACTTTAAGGTAACATATACCACAATTCCCCCTGAAAGCTCTAATGTTTGCCCTAAAACAGAGATAGCTAAGAAGGAATATGATAGAGGCCTACATATTCACAAGAAGCTTGTGAAGGAGGCAGAGGTGGATTTGTTCATGAATTAACAACTGCCAGAAAGAGGGAAAAGTCTTTGATACTTGGAAAAGTTTAGGACACATTAAAAAGAGTAAGTTCATATTGTAAGAGAATTAATTCTGAGAATAAATCTTTCTAAATGTCCACAATGTTCCAGATACTGTTTGGCACAGCAAATATGAAGATACACCAAATAAGGCATTTCTCTCAAAAAGCTGATTGTTGAATAGAGGCAAATGTATGCAGTGGGGACCTAAATAAAATGCAGGGCCAGTGCACCTGTATGTGAGCTGCCTGTGGTGCTCCAGAGATACACACTGGAGAGAGTACATTTGGTCAGGGGACCTCGTGTGGCCTTCTAACGGAGGAGGAGGCATGGGACAGTGGTCTAGCAGGAGCAGAAAAGGCTCAAGGCAGGAGGCATTCCACCAGAGGGGTAAAAACCTGGACAAAAAGAAAGAAGTAAAAAGTACACAGCTGTGGGCATTGCAACTTCTTAAATTTCAAGTCTAGGACTTGAGAGTTGCAGAAGGACTCTTGCCTTTGACTTTGTCACTCTGCCTAAAGCAGGGCTTGACCAGCAAAGGTGGACTGGAGCATATTCAGAGTCTCAGAGAAGGAGAGCTACAAAGCTGCAGTTGTGCTTCAGGAAGGTTAATTTAGCTCATTGTTCTATGGCCTTTTTTTTTTCTTTCTTTTTCCTTAAAGTAGACTCCACACCCAGCGTGGAAACTGAGCCCCTGACCCAAGATCAACACTTGAACTGAGATCAAGAGTCAGTTGCCTAACTGACTGAGCCACCCATGTGGCTCATTGTTCTAAAAGCAATGTCAGGGATCCCTGGGTGGCGCAGCGGTTTGGCGCCTGCCTTTGGCTCAGGGCGCGATCCTGGAGACCCGGGATCGAATCCCACGTCGGGCTCCCGGTGCATGGAGCCTGCTTCTCCCTCTGCCTGTGTCTCTGCCTCTCTCTCTCTCTCTCTGTGTGTGTGACTATCATAAATAAATAAATTAAAAAAAAATAAAAAAAAATAAAAATAAAAGCAATGTCAGCCTCCAAAAGAATGTTATAAATCTCAGATGCACAGATTGTATCTCTGGACTTCCTGAAAGTGTTAGCTTATAGGTTTCTTTGTCAGTCCTTGTCAGGTCTGTTGGTTAGAGCAGTTCTGGAAGCAGATAGCTTGTGAACAGATAAGGAGGTGCAGCAATGAGGAACAAAGCTATCCCCAATCCAAGAGGTTTTTCTCCTACAACATTTGCCCCTTTGTAGTTTTGCAACATTTGGAAAAATAGGAAGTTCTTCACTGCCATTTATAAAAATGATAAATCACAAAGTATCTATTCATTTTTCTTTTCTCCCTTTCCTTTTGTTTTTGCACCAGGCACATATATTATTCCTATAAAAGCAAAGTTCATAAAGCAAAATGAAAATTTTTAACCTTTGCCTTACTATTCAAAAATATTATTTATTTTTTAAAAGATTTTATTTCTTTATTAGAGAGCACAAGCAAGGGAGAGGCAGGCAGAGGGAGAGGGAGAAGCAGACTCCCTGCACAGCAGGGAGCCTGGTGTAGGACTCAATCCTAGGACCCTGTGATCATGACCTGAGCCAAAGGCAGATGCTTAATCCACTGAGCCATCCAGGCACCATATTCAAAAGTTTTAAAGTCTATAATATTTGTGAAACTCCATTTTATCTCTTTAGTGATTTGAAAATCATTTTATACCTTCTCTGACAAATTTTATTCTTTTTTTTTTTAAAGATTTATTTATTTATTCATGAAAGACACAGAGAGAGAGGCAGAGACATAGGCAGGCTCCCCCCACGGAGCCTGATGTGCGACTCGATCCCAGATCCTGGGATCACACCCTGAGCTGAAAGCAGAAGCTCAACCACTGAGCCACCCAGGTGTCCCTCTTCTTTTTTTTTAAGTAGGCTCCATATCCAGTGTGGAGCCCAACACAGGACTTGAACTCATAACCCTGAGATCAAGACCTGGACTGAGATCAAGAGTCAGATGCTTAATTGACTGAGCCACCCAGGTGCCCCACAAGTTTTCTTCTTTGATGCAAGGAACTCCAAATGATTACACTTGCAAGATATTCCCCAAATTCTTTTTAAGTCCAATTTCTAGTGCTGTCTGAGTGGCTCAGTTGGTTAAACACCCAACTCTTGGTTTCAGCTCAGGTCATGATCTTGTGGGTCATGGGACTGAGTCCTGCATCAGGCTCCATGCTCAGAGGGGAGTCTCAGGCAGACTTATGTGCACACTCTCTCTCTCTGAAATAAATAAATAAAATCTTTTTAAAAAGTCCAATTTCTACTCTGTATTTGGCCTATTTCTCTCACAAGACAGTTTTCCTATTCAATAACCTTTTATTTCAAACTGTATCTTTTCTTCTAATTTTGTTTCTAGGGCCTGTGTTTGTCTTGTTTTTATAATCCACAGGTGGCAAACTCAGAAATATACAAAAGATAAAAACGTAATTTTAATGCATTGGCCATAATAGGAAATGGAGGTACAATATCTATTGCAATTGATATTTGAATTTAAAAACAAGATATAGAGGAAGGTCAACATCTAGATTCATAGAACACCTGGTATTTGATTTACCCTCCTGTCTTAACAATTATAAAACTGGAGAAATATATGCAATAACTATTTTCAGGTGTTGGACAAGCTGATTCAAAGTACTGTTATTCTTTTTTTAAAATATTTTATTTATTCATGAAAGACACACAGAGAGAGGCAGAGACACAGGCAGAGAGAAGCAAGGCTCCACGCAGGAAGCCCGATGCGGAACTCGATCCCGGAACCCCGGGATCATACCCTGAGTCAGAGGCAGACGCTCAACCACTGAGCCACCCAGGTGTCCCCAAAGTATTGTTATTCTTAAAAGAAGGGAAACAAAAGTGGTAAACCCCACATTTATCCCAGATTTCTTATGGGGGACATTTTCTAACTAAGGCAGAGGAAAATATGGGCCCCAAACACAAAGCAGTAGGCTTGCTGGGCAGAGCAGAGACTGGCAGTCAGGACAGCTGAGGTGGCTGGAATTTGTGTTGGAGGAGAAGGAGTTTAAGAAATGTGTGTAAAGGGGACCTTGGCACATGTGCAGGAAGAAGCTTAAAGAGCTGAGAAAGAATAGCAACTGGAGGCTTGTGAGCTGAGTGGAGATTCTGGAGATTTCCCAATGCTGAGAGACACTGGGGTTTCAATGAGCGAGAGTGGAGAGACCTCACTGAACATCCTGGGCCTTCATTTGAGACCCCAAAAGGACTAGCCTCAAGACTCAAGCCCTTTAATAAGGTCTGCTTTAGAAGCACCCTTACAAATGCTAGAAACAACCCTCAGCAGAATAAAACTCAATACTCTTTAAAAAAAACAGGCAGCATTCATAATGTCCAGCAAACAGCAAAAAATTATTAGACATAGGAAAAAGTGGGAAAATATGATTCATAACCAGGAGCAAAATGTCCAGAGAAACAAAGTCCAGTGATGTTAGAATTAGTAGACAAGGCCTTTAGAACAGCTATTATAAATGTTCAAAATTAACCAACCAACCAATCGACAAAGATGTATATAGTGAGTGACTAGGTGGGGACTATCAGCAAAGAGAGACAGAAACTATAAAAAATGAAATAAATGGAAACTCCAGATCTGAAAAATATAATATCTGAAATGGGAAGAAAAAAAAAAAAAGACCACAAGATAGGCTTAATAGCACACTGGGCACTGTGAAAGCAAAGGTCAGGGATCCTGAAGACTATCCAAACTGAAGTAGAGAAAAATGTCAAGACAAAACAAAGCAAATAGAAAACATCAGAACCTTGCTGATCTGTGAAACAGGGCCAAGCAATTCAACATACATGCACTTGAATCCCCAGAATAAGATGAGAGTTTGGGGCAAAAAAATTATGATCAAACTGTTTCAAAATTTGATGAAAAAAAACCAACTCACAGATTTAAGAAGCTTAGTAAACCCCAAGCAGGATAAATGTAAATAAAATCACACTTAGGTATCATAACCAAATTGTTGAAAATCAAAAATAAAGCAGCCAGAGAAAAAAGACCCATGGACGTAGAGGGGAACAATAGTTAGATATTCTAATAACTTTACATTGGTAAACCAGGAGAAAATGGAACATCTTTAAAATAAAGAAAAAAAATACCTATCAACCTAGAATTTACATCAAGTAAAAACGCCATTCCTCATTGAAGGCATAAAAACATTTTCAGATAAAAGCTGAGAGGATTTCTTACAAGTAAACCTGCACTACAAAAAGTACTTTAAAAAGTAAGTTCTTTGGGTGGATAAGAAATGACACCAAATGGAACTTGAATTTTTAAGAAAGAACACCAGAAATGGTAACTGTGTGGGTCCCGTGTATGTTTTTTTTGTAATACCATCAAGCAATTAACTCAATTCTGGCACTCTCTACCTGTAGACATCATCAGATCCCACAGGTCTCTGGGCTTGGTCCTATGAGACTCCCTCCCTCCTCACTTCAGATGCCACTCTCACATTGAGATTGTCATCTGTGTTTCTGGATGACTGACTGTAGATCAAAGGTTCCCAGGTCTCTCTCCTCAGATTCAATTAATTTGCTAGAGCAGTTCATAAAACTAAAAAAAAAAAAATTACTTACTAGTTTACCAGTTTTTATAAAGGGACAGGAACAGCCAGATGCAAGAGATGTATAGGGTAAGGTATGTGGGAAGGGGTGAAAAGCTTCCAAGCTCTCTGAGGCTGTCATTCTCCCTGTGTTCACTGTACTGTGAGCTTCCAGAGCCCTGTCTTCTTGGTTTTTTATGGAGGCTTCGTTAGATAGGCATGG